CTCCCACCCCTGCTGCCTCAGGGGGCTCTCTCTGGTGCCCCGCCCCCACTTGGCTGCTGAGAACAGGCCCGATTCCCCGGCTGAGCCCAGCTGCAGGCTCGGGTGGCGCCTCACCCGCGCGCTGGTCGGTGTGCCGCTGGGTGCTCTGGCGGGGTGGCCCCCACAGCCCTTCCCCGCGGGCCCGCCAGGGGCAGCTCCAAAACCTCCTCGTAGCGGGTGTGGCAGGCAGACCCTAGGGTGGCCCCCGAGTCTGTACCTTGTCCTCCACAGTGTCCTTCCCCTGAGTGTGGGTGGGACCCGTGGCCTGTCCATGATCCACAGTCGGCGACTCCGTCACAGTGTGTGCCCGGAGCTCTGAGTTCCTAGCACCCTGGACGACACAGGGGGCCACACTTGGGCGTTCACCCAGCGAGGACCCGCGGGGCCTTGGGCCAGCCGCAGGCCGCACCCTGAGCCACCGAGCGGAGAGACGGGCCCTGCCAACCCCGACTGAGCTGGGAGCTGTCCCTCCCCGGCTGCGCCTCCAGGTGAGGCGGCTGCCCGGCTGGCACCTGGGCTGCAGGTGCGTGAGGCCTGCGGCCGCTGAGGACCCGCGAGGCCGTGTCCGGGCCTCGCACCAGAGAAGCGATGCCTGTTGTTTCCGGCGGCCGAGCGTGTGGCATGTGGCGGCTCCCGCACAGCAATGGGCGAGGGCCACGGAGGGTCTCGGGAGCTCAGTGACGCTGGATATTGGAGGGGGGGTTTGGGGTGCTGTGCAATGGTGGCGGGCGAAGTCCCCACGGGCCACCCTGGGGCCCAGGGACCTGGGGGAGGAGGGAGCGGGGCTGGGACCTGCCTGCGGAAGAGCGTGATTGCCTGGAACCTTCCAGGACGACGAGCTGTTGAGGAAACGTTGCGTGTTTATCACTTTAACTCCCGGGCCCCGTCTGGCTAGGTGAGAGGTGAGAGATCATCTGTAGCATGTGCCGTGCTCTGTAGCACGCAGAGACGCAACAGGGCAGCGCCGTGCAGGGCCCGGCGGGGGAAGGGGGCGGCTCCCCCCGGGTCCTGGCCTCGCTGTCACCGTTCCGGTTTGACCTTCTAGAAAGTTTCAGCGGACAGACGGGTTCACCTTGCTACGTGCCGCCCACCCAACAGGACGCCGGAAGGCTGGTCCACGGCAGCACTCAGACGCCTGCCCTGTTCCCCCCTGGGGGCGGCCTGGCCGTCCATCCTGTGGGCCGACGTGGGTGTCCTGCCGCGCCCCACCCACGGAACTCGCAAGTGATCCTCCAGAACAAGCCACTGTTCAAGGTCAAAACTGTCTCAGCTTACACGCAGCCAAAGCCACAGACCCTGGCCTGAGAAAGGAGAGCAAGCGACCTCGGACACGGCCCCCGCTCGGCCCACCCCAAGCCTGCCCAGCACAGCCCGGAAGGGTCCCGCCGGCCGGGCTGCCGTCCCGGTTCGCCTGAGGAGGGCAGCCGGCGCGGCTTCGGTGGTTTGTCACCGGAGGCCGGTGCGCGTGGATGCCCCAAAGCCCAGACACAGGCTGCTCTGGAGCGAATTCTCTCCCCTTTGTGGACAGAGGAAGACCTGCTTGCTTCTTGCAAACGAGGCTCCGCCCCATCCCGGCCTGCCCGCCTCCCCAGGCCCCACACACGGCTGTCCGGCAGCCCCTTCCCCGCCGCGGGGGTGGGCGCACCTGCAGCCACGGAGTCCTCACCCCCCTGGGGGTGCCAGAGAAGGCCCGTGTTCAGAGTGACGTCTCTGTTCTTCAAGCCCTCCTTTAGCTTTAGGGGTTCGGGTCGCTGGCGTCCCCACTCATCCCCCTACAGAGAGCCCAGTGGTGGCTGTGGCTCTGTCCCAGGCTGAGCTCCTCGCTCAGGGTCAGGGGTCAGGACCCACCGTTGCCCTGGGGCTGGGCCACCTGCCCCTACTGATGGTGGGCTCAGCGGCCAGGAGGACGGGCTGCTGCCGGTGACATCCTGCCCGGCCCGGTGACCTCCCCAAGGACGAGGACCCTTTGTGCGAACCTACCTGGTCAGTGTCTCTCCAGAGCCTTCGATGTTCAGTCCACTGGCCTCGGAGCCGCTGCCAGCATTCTTGCAGCGCCGCATCTGACTGGCGGGGTCTGCCGTCTTCATCCGGCAACCTGCAGGGACGCCGACTCACAGAGGCCGGTGGGAGAGGGGTGGCCGCTGCTTTTGTCTCTTTTAGAATAAGCGTGTTGCATTTTAGAACAGTTTCAGGTTTACAGACAGCTGTGAAGAGAGCTCAGAGATTCCCACGCACCCTACCCCCCACCCACCCACCCTATTACTAACGCGCCCCATTGTGATGTTCGGCACACGCGTCACAATCAGGAGGCAGTGCGGATACACTCTGTCACTAACCCACGTCTGTGCTTTATTCAGACGTCCCCGGGCTTCTCCAGATGTCCTCTCTGCATGCAGGACTCCGTCCAGGACAGCACGTGACATGCAGTTGTCCCGTCCCTGGGGCTCTACAGGGCTGGGACGGTTTCCCAGACCCAGGTTGCCTGTGATGACGTGTGCAGTTTTGAGGAGGGCTGGTCGTGTGTTTCGTAGGATGTCCCCCGGGTTGAACCTGTTTGCTGTTTTTATCACACCCGGACAGAGGATGCAGTTGTTTGGGAGGAAGACCACAGGGGGAAGTGCCGTTCTCAACACATCATGGTAAGGACACATATTGGCCCGGCCCAGTGGCTCAGGGGGTGGGAGCATCGTCCTGAGCACCAGAAGGTCGCAGGTTCGATCCCTGGTCAGGGCACACACCTCGGCTGTGGGTACAGTCTTCAGTCGGGGTGCACGCGGGAGGCAGCTCACTGATGCTTCTCTCGCCTCTGCCTCTCTAAATCAATAAATACATCCTTGGGTGAGGACTTACGAAAGAAGACACGTTATCATCATTATTTGCCACCAAAGATGCTAAGCCTGAGTATCTGGCCGAGCTGGGGTTTGCTGGATTTCTCTGCTGCAGAGTCACCTTTATCACAGCATTAGTCGTCTCTGTTTATTCGAGTTAAAAAGTGGACACATAGCCCTAGCCAGCGTGGCTCAGTGGGTTGGAGCGTTGTCCCACGATTGGAAAGCTGCGGGTTCCGTTCCTGGTCAGAGCACATGGCTGGGCTGTGGGTCTGGCCCCGGTCTGGGTGCGTGCAATCCTAGAAGGGGGGCAACCAGTCCGCGCCTCTCCCCCTTCCTCTCTCTCTAAAAAGCAAAGACAGCCCTGGCTGGTGTAGCTCAGTGGATTGAGCTCGGGCTGCGGAACCAAAGCATCGCAGGTTCGATTCCCAGTCAGGGCACATGCCTGGGTTACAGGCCACGGCCCCCAGCAACCGCACATTGATGTTTCTCTCTCCCTCCCTTCCCTCTCCAAAAATAAATAAATAAAGTCTTAAAAAAAAAAAGAACATTAGGTTAACAGTTCTTTAAAAAATAAATAAAAAATAAAAAGCAAAGACAAAATGTCCTTGGGTGAGGATAAACATTTTTTTAAAATGCCGTATCATTCGTTGAACATAAAATCCACCACTTGAAAGTACCCAGTCCAGATGTTCTTAGTATCTGTACAGCCCTCCCCACTGTGGGATTCTAGAACATTTGCGCTGTTGACCCGAACAGAAGCCGGTACCTGCTGGCGGCCGCTCCCCAGCCCCCTGCACCTGTGCGGAGACTGCCTGCCAAAGTGCGCGGTCAAAGTGCCCCGGAGGGTGAGAACGGAGGCGTTTTGTTTATTTTGTCCTGCTTCCCCGCGTTTCCCACAGTTACTGCTACAGTGAAAGCGGTTACTTTGAAGTGGCATGGCGCAGGACAGTGAGAGAGGAGGGAAGCCGCCGAGGGGTTACACGCCGGCCCCCAGAGGCCCGGCCGGGAGGCTGCCGCTCCCCGCTGATCGTCTCAGTGAGTCAGTTCCGCAGACGCTGTCCGGTGCCCGCCGTGCGCCCGCACCGTTCCCGGCACTAGGAGCTCCCCGGCCCCCCTGCACTGCGCACGCGAGCGAGCGCGCCTTCGGTGGGGAGGAGTGGGTGGGGGCAGCGAGAGCAGGAAGGGCGGGCAGGAGGCGGGCAGGCGGCGGGCAGGCGGCGGGCAGGTGGCGGGCTCTGGGAGGACGTGAAGTCCGCTCGCGCCGTGAGTGCCTCCCCGCGGCCCTTGACTCGCCTGCGCCCCTAGCGGACAGCCGAGTGCCCGGCGCCGGGTTTCTCCCCGGGTCCGCGGGCCCGGGCGGAGGTCGGGGCGCTGACTGAGCCGCACCGGGTTTCTGCTTGGACGCCCCTGGCCCTCCAGCGAGCCCAGTTCGGACCTGGCCGGTGGCAGCCCGGTGTGCTCCAGGCCCAGGCGAGCAGGCAGGAAGCCACGCCAGGCACAGGGAGCAGCCCCAGTGGGTGGGTGTCTGTCCAGCCGTTTCCTGGCCCGCGAAGCCTGTTCCGGCTGTGCGTGGTCTAGGCGGCCAGGACAGGAAAACTAGAAAGCCCTTATCTTTTTCAAAGATTTTATTTTTATTTATTTTTTTAGAGAGGGAAGGGAGGGAGAAAGAGAGAGAGAAGCACCAATGTGCGGTTGCTGGGGGTCATGGCCTGCAACCCAGGCATGTACCCTGACTGGGAATTGAACCTGCGACACTTTGGTTCTCAGCCTGCGCTCAATCCACTGAGCTACACCAGCCAGGGCTGCAAGCCCTTATCTTTTAAAAATCCCGAGGCAGGAATTGAGCAGGTCGCCCACTAAACCCATCAACAGGAATTCACTGTCCTATTGATGCCAGTTTGGGAAATCATTTTTAAAAATTGCCAACTGGGGAGTTGGGGAGAGAAGCAGGGACTGGAAGGACACACCTGGGGACAGGTTGGGCTAGCGTGTGGGGCTGCGAGCCTTGGCGTGCGGGAGCTGAGCAAGACAGGGAGGGCGGTGCGGGGTGGTGGGGTGGGAGGACCCTGGGGGCTGTGGCCCCTGGGTGCTGGGCGGGGGACTGAGCCTTATCTCTGGGATACACGCAAATTCCTCCCTTGGGCATGTCACCTGTGTCCCCAAAGGTTAGGCACAGCCCGTGCTGGTAGGGGCCAGCTTGCAGCCTCCGTGTGGGCACAGGAGGCTGAGGGGCCGGAGCGAGGCTCCCGAGGACCGTGCGAGCCTTAGGGACCTGAGTCTCCCTCAGCTCCGGGGAGAATGGGGTGGGGAGTCAAGAGCGCAGCTGGGCCTGTTCTTGAACCTGCTCGGCCGAGGAGAGCCAGGGAACCTCTGGGGGCTGCAGCGGCCTGGGCGGGGGCTCCCCGAGTGGGGCCCCAGCTCCTAGATTCCCAAAGGCATCCGTCGCAATGAGGCTGCTGAGTGGGGGCACCGCCTGGGGCGGAGGTGGCCCAGGAGTGCCTGGGCAGGGAGGGGCCGGAGCCCTGCGGAGGGAAGCCCCCTTGAACTTGCACGCACGGCAGGAGGCAGCCACAGCTCCCTCCCGGAACCCCAGCTCCGGACTGTTCCCCACTCTGCTGGACCCCAGGTGGGGGCGGCACAGGTGAGCCACATGACCGGGCCTGGAGGGAGGGGGGGCCTGGCGTCATGCCCTGACTCCAGCACCCACCGGGAGGATACCTGGGCACGGGGTGTCGCCTCTCTGGGCCTCCGTCTCCTTCTCTGCAAAATGGACAACGGACGTAGCCTCCCGGCTGGCGGAGGCTGGGAGGGCAGGGGTGAGGCGAGGGAGTGCCTTTCGGTGGCAGCTTGTACACGCCACCCCTTCCTCATGGTCCCCGGGCCTGGCGCCCTGCGGGTAGTGGGTGGGGCGGGTGGCGGCCCCAGGACTCAGGCCGAGCCAGCCTCCCTTGCCGCCTTTCCCGCTGCGCATAAAAAAAAAAAAAAAAAGAAGTTTCCCTTCTTCTTTCCTTAGCCCTTCATTTCTTTGTTCCCTTTCTGGACCAGAAGAGGAAGAAGAGCTGAAAGGAGGAAGAAGGCACATTGGTGCCAGGGGAGAAGGGAACTGCCCACTTTTCAAAACTCGAGACCAGATGAAAAGTCTACGCCGCCAGCGTCTCTCAGAAGCAGGGACGGAGGTCTTCCCGCCTCCTCTAGGCTGGCCGCCCTGACGGCAACCTGTGATGCGTCCCCAAGCAGGGCCTTATGCAGCCTGAGATGTTTCGTGGCGATCGCCCGGCTGCAAGGCCGTCCCCGCTGGTTCTCACGGTGCGTGGTGGCCCGTCAGTCCCAGCGCAGCTGCCCCTGGCGGCTGGCCACGCCCACGGCCCCCCGGGGGAGTTCAGTGTTGGGGGGGGAGGGCTCGGGTTAGGGCTGAGCCGTGTCCACCCCTTCTGCTCATTCGTGTGTTGACACCCCAACCCCCAGTCCCTCAGAATGCGGCTGCCTTTGGGGACGGGATCTTTAAAGGGGTCATTGAGGCTACTGGGGTGGCCCTCAGCCCACAGGACTGGGGTCTTCACGGGAAGCGGTCAGGACACAGACACCCGCAGAGGGATGCCATGTGAGGACCAGGGGAGAAGGCGGCTGTGTCCACGCCCAGGAGAGGGGCCGACGAAGAACACCGGCTCTGGCACGGCCAGCCTCCAGGACCGCGGGGCAGTCCCTCTCTGTCGCCCCAGCCCGTGGTGTTTGTTACGGTGACCCGGGGCCCAGACGGCTCTGCTCCGTGAGGAATGAGACGGGCCTGGGGAGTCGGAGGGCATCCCCCCGTGTGGCCCCTGGAATGCTGACTGTCATTGTCACTGTCATTGTCATCTCAGGGTTCCTCGCCGCGCCTGCTGTCCTTGGGCCGGGGGACCGCACTGCTGGACAGAGGCAGGTCCCCAGGCATGCACATTCTTGCACGCCCACTGCCGCCAGGGCCCCCCACCCCCCGCTGCAGAAACCCACCGTCGTGTCTGTGATGACCCCCTGAGGTCCCCACGGTCGCCTCTTCTCAGGTGAGGGAACCGAGGCCTGGGGGCGCCCCGTGACCTGCCTCGCCACTGTCCCCGGGCAGAGAGCTGGGCAGCACCCGGGCCCAGGGAGTTTGGTGCCGCAGCCTCAGCGCTACAGCTTGACACTCCTCCAACGTGGAGAGGGAAGGAGAGGGTGCCAGAGTGGGCCTGAGTGGCCTTGTGTGACCTTGGGCAGTCTGGGCAGGCGCCGGGACACAGCCGCCAGCAGGACGGCCCCCTGCCCTGGGCCCCCACCTGTAGGCACCCCGCTTGCAAGGACCCTGCCTGCCTCCCACCCCGGAAACTCGGGGAGCAAAGGAACTCGGCTCCTGGGTGCACGCCTATTTGTGGGCAAAGGAACACGGCTGAGGGAGAGCCCTGGGGGGCCGTCCTCAGCCTGGGATTGCGGGTGCGGCGGGGTTGGTGGGAGGGATGCGTCCCAGGGACGTGGAGGAAACTGGTTTTCCAGCTGCCCTCAACCTTGTGCCCTGTGTCTCCACGGCACAGTTATGGAACCCGGGCAAAGACGGGGACCCTCGCGGCCCGTCTGAGCACCGTCCCAGGGAGAAGAAACCAAAGCGAGACCCAAGTCCGCCTCTGGAACAGCCTGGAAATGCGCTGCAGGTCCCGGACTGGTTCCCCGCGGGGCCGGAGGGCGGCTCTGCTCACGGGAGGGAGGGAGGGTCTTCAGGCACTTCCTGTCCCTGAGCCCCCGGCCCTGCCCGGTCCCTGCCACACCCACCCCCCTCTCCGCCCACCAAACTCGGGGTCCCCTGGCGAGGAGCCTCTCACCGGGGCCTGGGCACCACCCCGTCCCGGGGACAGGGCGGATGGCCGCGTGGACGCTCGGCCACCCACTGCAGGCGCGCACGTTACTGGCGGTGAACCAGCTGCTTCCGGTCACACAGCTGGAAAGGGGCTGAGTCTCGTAACCATGTAACCACGTAACCCTCGTAACCAGCCTCGTAACCACGGCGTCCCGGGGCCTCTGTGCCTGGGAGGGGGTGACGTCCCCACAGGTGTGACACGGCAGCGAGGCCCCCACTGAGGCGTGCTGGTGTCGTTTCCCTGAGTCACATGGTGTGATCTCCCCCCCCCCACATGTGGTGTGGCCTGGGGCACCTGTGTGCACGCCCACGCAGTCACACGCAGTCACACGCAGTCACACGCAGTCACAACACCAAGGTCACCTCGCTCCCCCACTCACTGGGTAACCGGCCCTTTCCCGAGAACCTTCTCGCGTGGGAAGAACGCCCCACGGCCTTCCCGCTGGGGCCCTGGGGCCTGCCGTCTGGACTCCATCCGACCGGCCAGTCCTCCCGCGTGGGCGTGAGCGCGTTCCCATCCTGTGCCCGGGAAGCGACCCAGGCGCCGCGTCCCACACGCCAGCCCTCTGGTTCCTCTCTCTACGAGAGTCCTGGGGCGGGTTCCTGGGGGGGGGGGAGCGTTCCCGGGAGCAAGGGCGCGCAGACTGAGGGGCACACGTCTGACTTGTCCCCCGGGAGGACGGTGCTGCTGTTGGCCCTGGATGACGGAGAGGACCCGCCTCTCTGAGTGTCCGTCTTGGGCTTTTCCCAGGAAGGATCGCTCGGCCCGGCCGCAGCCTCCGCTGCAGCCCCCCGCCGCTGCGCCCTGCTGGCTTCCGGCGCCCTCACCCCCAGGTGCCGCCGCCCCCTCTGTGACCGTCAGGTGGGGGGGGACGACGTGCCCTTTCTGGGGAGACAAGTTCCACTCAGGGCCGCTTCCCGGCCCACGGAGGCCCCCCTCCGGAGCGCTGTCCCCGGGAGCTGGTCGTCGTGGACAGGACGGCCTCGGGAACGGCATGTCTTTGGCCGGTCCTACTTCCCAAGTCCTTTTCCCTCGTCGCTTTGTGGGTTCTTTGACCTGCACCAGATTTTGTTTTTTCTGCGATTTCCAGGACAAAGCTCTGGAGAAGGGGCCCTTGTCCAGCTCAGGACACACATAAAGCTGGCCAATCTCAGTTTTCAAATGCAAACCGTTGTTAGCTTCCCCAGCCAGCCCGGTGAGCCCCAGCTGTCCCCGAGGGCCCCTGTCCCCACGGGCCCCTGTCCCCGGGCTTTCGGACAAGGCCACGGAAGGACGGCTGCTTGCACCCGCCCGGGTCCCCTGCTCCGGCGGGCACTCTGGGTGGCAGACGCTTCAAGTCTTGCTGGGAAGGGCTGGGACAGGGCAGGTGACTGTGGCTGGCGTGATCCACAGTGGCCCCCCTTTTACTCTCCGGGGAGCCCCTGGGACGGACTCGGGGGGGGTGGGAAGGGCAGGCACAGCACAGGCGGTCACCCTGGGCCTGAGCAGTGACCCTCAGCGGGAGTTCTGCAGCTCCCACCCCACCCCACCCCACCCCTCCGTGGACCCTGCTGCTCCTGGGCTGACCTCGGCCTCTGCTTTCTGAGGCTCTGAGGCAGCCCGGGCATCTGGGGTCATTCCCTGTGACCTTGGCCGGAGCTCATCCAGCAGCCAGACACCGGGCGCCCCTCTCGCTCCCTGCCCGCGCTTCCTCCTGGGGAAAACACCACTCACAGTGAGCACGGGGCGGTTCCCCGGGGGGTGGGGGGCGCCTGGGAGACTCCGGCTCCTCTGAAGGCCGAACTGACACCCTCAGGCCGGCTGGGAGCAGCGGCTACCGGGGGGAGGACCGGGCGAGGGGTCTGGACAGGGCCGCCAGAGGCCTCCACTTAGCACACACACACACACATGTGGACACCTGTGCACACATGTGCACACGTGTGTGTCCGTGCCGGCCCAGGGCTGGGCTTTAAAAGGCGGACCTGAAGCTGCTGGAGAGAGTGATGGCCGGCCCCTCAGCACGGGGACAGGGCCGTGGTCTGGGGAGCTCTGAGATGTGCAGCCTCGTTCTGTCTCCCGATTGGCCGGGCTTTGCCACCAGCAGCCCCCCACGCTGTCCCTCTCATGGCCAGCAGAGGGCAGAACCGAGGCGTCGCCAGCTCTCGCGTGTGCTGAGCATTCTGCAGGGAACCGAGTCCCCCAGACTCCTGCTCACCGGGACGCTCAGATGGGACCTTCTTTGGAAACAGGGTCTTCACAGATGGGACTGGTCCCATTGCAGTGAGGTCCCACTGGAGGAGGGTGGGCTCTCAGCCCACTGTGGGGGTGTCCTTATAAGGAGAGGAGACACGCCGTGGCTGCAGCCACGAGCCCAGGAACAGCAAGGGGTGCGGACAGGGGCTGGGCGGAGGTGGCTGGGCGGGCCCTCCCGGGCCTCAGAGAGAGCCCGGCCGGTCCGGGGACTCCCTGCTTCTAGGAACGGAGGGAATAACGTCTGTTGCTGTCGGCCCCCTGGTCTGTCCAACTTGTTACCACGGCCCCAGGGAACTAACACTTTGTGTTGTCTTAGAAAGTGGCTTGTGTTTGCTTGTACGTTTACTTACAGTGACGTTGCAATCACACTAACTACACCGACACTGCGTACCCCCCTCCCCACGACAGTCTGCACACACACACACACACACACACACACACACGGCCCCCAGTGCAGACTCAGGGCGGGGTGGGGGCTGGTGCTAGAAGCGGCTGCGGCCCAGAGCTGATTCTGCACGGACTCCTTGCTCAGCCCTGGGTGAGGCCCTGCGGACCCACGTGGGGCCCTCACCCCCCGTGAGGACCCGGGTCGATGGGGCTGCCCTGGAGTCCGGGGCCTGAGCGGAGGGATTCACCGAAACGACCAGGAAGCAGCCTCGAAGGGAGCAGAGCCCGCAGCTCGGGAAGCCGGGGCCTCTGCCTCCGCAGGTGCAGCTGATCACAGGAGGAAGGACCAGCCTGGCCAGGCGCGGGCTGTCTTTACCTGGGGGCACCTTTGTCCTCAGGGGCCAGTGTGAGGTCCCCTGGCTGCTTCCTGCCACCTCCTGCCCCCGACACCTCCCGTGTTCCCAAGACACAGGACACCGGGGCCTCGGCCAGAAGCAGCCTCCTCCGCCAGGTGTCTGTCCTGGAGCCCAGACCGTGACTCACCTGTGCCATCAGCTTCCGGGGCAGAAGCAGGGATGACCGAGACAGCCGTCCCGGCTCCCTCCAGCTCTCGGGCAGAGTGTCCCGCCGGGGGGGAGGGCGGGCTCCGCAGTGAGGACGGGGAACCCGTGCTCCCTGGGGCATCACCGCAGCGGGCCCCACCGGGGCGCCTCGCTGGGCTGAGCAGGGCGGGGCCCCCTGGCGGCCATGGTGTGCTGGTGTGGAACAGTCCAGAATGTGTTACTGGATTTTGCATGTATAACGCACACTGTTTTTTTGCCCCAAGTTTTGAGGGAAAAATAAGGACGTGCATTTTACATGGGTAGTACTAATTCCGTATCTAGATAAATGTTTTTAGTTCTTTTATTTCTGCTAATGTGTTAAAATTTACCTCTAGAAAGCAATAAGGATATCCGTATGCAAAATATACCCTAGAACATGATCATCGGTTTTGTTTCAAAATATAAATAAATAAACATTGGATTAAAGAATTAAAACAGGCCCTGGCTGGTGTGGCTCAGTGGATTGAGCAGCCTGTGAACCGAAGGGTTGCTGGTTTGATTCCCAGTCAGGGCACAAGCCTGGGTTGCAGGCTAGATCCCCAGTGGGGGGCGCTAGAGAGGCAAACACACACTGATGTTTCTCTCCCTCTCTCCTTCCCTTCCCCTTCTCTTGAAAAATAAATAAAATCTTAACAAAAATTAAAACAAATGTTTTTTTCCTGAAAGTTTGGGAAACTTTCCCAAACCATGGGCGCACCCTCTGCACGGGAGCGCATTATACGTGGCAAAATATGGTAAAGGCCTCGGCGGCTGTCTGTCCGGGGGCCGAGGTGGGGCTGATGCTGAGGGTGGGAAGAGGTGGGTCCTGGGCTGGGAGGCGCTGGAGGGCGGGGCAGGCTGGGGGCTGGAGGGACCTCACCGGGGTGGGGGGGTGGGTGTCTCCACTTAAAGGACCTCTGGGAGGGACAGCGTGGGAGCTCCCTTAGGGGACCCAGAACATTCTAGAAGCCTGTCTACACGTGGGGCGTGGAAGAATCATGAGTGGGGAAGCGGTGCTGGGTAGGGGTGGGGGTGCACTGACCTGCAGGGGAAATAGCAGGTGAAACCCCAGGGGCCAGAGTGGAGACGGGGGCCTGGGCCTGAGGGCTGGGAGGCACCCTTTGGGATGTGGGGGTCTCCGCAAAACCGAGCAGACCTGGCCGCGTCACGTCTGTGGACGGCAGACACGATGGCGGGGTGGGCCGGGGCCTCGGAGTCCCGTGGGAGCGCCTCCGGTGCACACACAGGTCCCACCGCCACCATCGTCCCCGGTGAAGGCCCGTCCACGACGCCTGTCAGAGAAAGATGGCGTCTGGAGGCTCCGGTGTTTCTCCCCCACTTCTACTGCCTGTGAGCCGCACCCAGAAATGAGGACGCTTCCCAAATCCAAGGACACCCTTTTAATCACAAACTGCTTGTCTGCAGTCTGGCCAGAGGTGGGAGCGGAGCCCAGGGAGGCCTGCAAGCACGGCAGAACCCTCCCAGAAACAGCACCAGGCCCCCTGTGCTAGGGCGGCCCGCACCTCCTGCCGATCCACACC